AATATTTGTGACTTTTAAAGTGATTCAGGGTAGTATCATTCATTGTGAATAGAAATACACATATCTATAAATGTGCTTCTTTCTTACTGAAAGAGACTAGAGAGAAGTAAGTCTTTAAACATACTGAATACCAGAAACCAAACCCATCACCTTCGAGTTAATTCTGACTCATAGTGACCCTATATGACAGAGTAGAATTGCCCCATAGCGTTTCCAAGGAGCGCCTGGTGGATTCAAACTGCCAACCTTTTGGTTAGCAGACATAGCTCTTAACTACTATGCCACCAGGGTTTCCACCGCTGCACTGCCATACTGCAATTTGAGTCTTGTATTAGATGTTAAAAGAAGGATTTCTGCTTGCTAGTTATGATTCCAATTTTACTTTAGCCATCACCTTATTTGATCTGCAGATAAAATGATTCTTTTTTTTTCCCTATGAAGGCTTTATCACTACAAATGTTTTTCTTTGCAGAATGTGGTCTAAATTTAGAGATGGGGTGTTTGTATTTTGCCGCAGAAATTTTACGCAGTTTATAATTCTTTTGAAAGCTAATCAGGGTAGATGTTCCTTCACTGTGTATTGCAGATATTTTTCAAATATATCCGTGACTTACATTTTTGTATGAAGTAAAGCTAGAGCTAGACACTTTGTGTCCGTTTGTTGAAAATGCCTTATGTGTCAGTTATATGTCAGTTAATGTAACCTATGTTTTCAATCAGGAACTCCTGGAACTTGCCTTGCTAATTCTTTTATATAAACGTTTAATTGGCAAAGGAGAAAGTTTTTGTCTTTTTAGGAAGGAGTATGACATCAGAAGCTTAAATTTAAGGAGTTAATTACTTGATTAATATACTTATTAATACATAGTAGTTAATTTCAAAACCATTACGTTAATACATTCATTAATGTTAACATAAATATTTACATATTTTGGCATAAAGATTACTAAAACCAAAAACCAAACCCATTGCCTTTGAGTCGGTTCCAACTCATAGTAACCCTCTACAACAGAGTAGAACTGTCCCATAGGGTTTCCAAAGCTGTAAATTTTTATGAAAGCAGATTGCCACATATTTCTCCTGTGAAGTACCTGATGGGTTTGAACCACTGACCTTTTGGTTAGCAGCTGAGTGCTTTAACTACTGTGCCACCAGGGCTCCTTAACAAAGATTAATAGCTATTAAATCAAACCAAACTTTTCATTTTGTTTTTAGCATTATTTTAAAAAATGAAGATAAATTTAGTTTTTGTGTGTGTGTTTTGTTTTTTTTTTACTAAAAAGAATGTTTTTGATGTGATTAATTCATTTTATTTTGGCCTATAATCAACCTCCTGAGGTATAACAAGAAATCCATTTCAATATACAAGTTTAATTTTTCCTGTTTTTCTTTTTAGAAAAGTAGAGCTTCATATCAGTTGTGTGTGCCTAATTATATTAACATACTTAATTAGACCAGCTTCTCTGTTTCTGCTATTCCATGCTGTCCTTCCCTGAACCTTAGGATTATGGTATTTATTGTATTAGTTATTTCATATCTTGTCTCGCTGTAAAATTGTTTACTTCTGGAGTAGGTAGCATGAAGTCAGCCACAGAGGCAGTAAATATTGACACTGTGCTGTCTTAGTTGCTCTTCCTTACAGAAAGTATGGATAATATGGCTAAAATGTTTATTGGCTCACTCTGCTCATAACAGGTTGGCTAGTCATAATATCTGTCTTCACAGTACTCATTACATTGTCAGGAAAGACATCTTGGAAGCAGAGGTGTCCATCCTGATTCTGAATTGCCCAGGTGTTTCATTGGTCTGAAGCCCTTCGTTTCATCTATATTCTGGGTCCTAGATTAAATGACACCTTTTAAGACACTTTTATGGCTTCTGGCAATAATAATGTTCCCTTTGTTCCCAAAGACTTTATGATGATGGAACTGTGCATGCTAATAATGCAAGAAGGGGCAGAATATTATCTCCAAGCCCAGACCCAGAAAACATATTAATATGGCACTGAAAGTCTTTTCTTTCTGGAAAACTATTGAACTGATAATTTTTATTTTTTTTATTGTACTTCAGGTGAAGGCTTACAGAACAAATAGTTTCTCATGAAACAGTAGTACACATATTGTTTTATGACATTGGTTAACAACCCC